GGGGTGCAGGGTGGGCGTCTGTGCTGGACACCCTCAGACATGGCCAGGCCCGCGGGAGCGGGGGCGAGGACGCCGCGGCCAGGCCGAGGCCCGCGCTCCACAGGGGCCTCAGTGGTGTCGCGTGACGGCCCAAGCTGACCAGCCCAGGTCCCAGTGGCCGAAGGGCTGCCCCGGCAGGATCCCACGCGGCACCAGGCTCCTGGGGTGGCGTCCCGGTGTCGGGGCACGGGATGCCTGCCCGCAGGGTGGACCCTTGTGCCGAACGTGCACCCGTGCGCAGATTATGAGCGTGTCGCTGCCCCCAACGGGAAAATCACCCCCAGCAAGCACGCTGCGCGCTCAGCCGCCCCCCAGGGCCCCGGGCCGACCTGCCGGCAGTGGTCACAGCGGGTCAGCATGAGGCAGTGTTTCCAGTAGTGCAGGTCCAGGCCCTCCTCCGTGAAGGCCTCGCTCCGCTCCCCGCAGAAGATGCACAGGCTGAAGAGGGGGCCACCGCGGCGTCAGCAGCCTGGGGGGGCGTGGGGCCGGGCCTGGGGGCCTCCTGGCAGGGAGGCTGAGGCGCTCTGGCGCGGCCTCCCCTGTGGGGTCTGAGCCCAGCAGCTTGGCCTCGTCCCCACTGCAGCCCCAGGCAGCGGGCAGGGCGCTGGCCCGAGGGGCCCTGTGCTCCCGCCTCGGTCTAGACCAGGCTCTGACCTCGGGTGTGGGGGTTCCCCATGGGGGGTCACTGCCGTGGTGGGGCAGCTGCTGGTGGGCAGGGGCCCTCCTGGGTCAGAGGTAACGGCGAGGGCGGTGGTGCGGGGGTGGGGGCAGGGGGCTCGGGCCGGGCCGACGCCACTCACTTGTCTAGGAAGTGAGTGTCCGGCACTCCCGGCACGCCGGGCGGGTCTGCTTTCCGGCCCTGAGAGTCTGGAAAACGGGGGCACGCTGGCCGTGAGTCTCCGGGAGAGCCCCGAGGGCGGCGCCAGTCCCGGCCCCGCCGCCCACCTGGGTGTGTGGCGGTCACAGCTCCGCCGTCTTCCTCCTGAGACGGAAGGGGGAGGTCAGGGTCGGGGCTGTGCAGGGGCTGTCCAGGGCCCTTGGACCCGAAGGGTCTTGGTTCAGGAGTTCCGGCAACAGAGCGACTCTGGGTATCCTGGGGCTC